AATGGTGAGTTAAAAACTTTCGATATATTGACAAGGACATTCTTCCTCCCAAATAGAGAGGCTTTCTCTTATTTAAGAGTTAGGAATTATTTGAAGCACAAAATCATTATAAATAATGGAGAAATATATAATGTGTTAAAAATAATTTTCTCTAAAAAAGACTCAAAAAATCTTTTTGCTAAATGTACAAAACTATTTGATATAATAAAAACAGAGAACCCCCCAACGGCAATAAAAAGTTGGGAAAAAATTCTGAAGTGCTCAATAGATTTAGAAGCATGGTATGCTGCTATAACTAAAATAAATAAACATGTGCATAGTCTCTCCCTGATCGAAACTCACTTTAAAGTGATTAGCAACTGGTACTTAGTCCCCTCAAAAATATCGAGAATGTTTAATGATAATAATGATGTGTGCTGGAGATGTGGAGAAGAGAAAGGAGATTATCTCCACATATGGTGGAGCTGCAAGAGAGTAACCCCCTTATGGTCCATGGCTAATTCACTATTATATAGGTTAAATGGAATAGGAATAAAAACTACACCAGATATGATGTTGCTACATATAAGGTGGCCCGCCCTTAGCAGAATGAACCAAATTTTGACAACACATTGTTTGATAGCATCAAAGATTATTATTGCCAGAAACTGGAAAAAGACGCAATCATTCTCGAAGATACAGCTTATCCAACAATTAAAATATCAGATTCAAATGGAATCAGGAGAATACTACAGTAGATATTTCCTCTTGAAAGTAAATAAGTTGAGTCACATAGCTGTAAGGTATGGTGTGAATGTTGGTATGACTGTTGTTAGGCTGTTTGCTTTTTTTTCTTTCTTTTCTTTCACCCTCCCTCTATTGCTCCTTTAATAAGGGGTTACCCCTCAAAGCATTTTAATAGGCAATAGAATAACATAATTTACAAAGGGTAATAATAATAAATAGTTTTAAGCAAAGGAAAGACGGAGAGGTGGGAGGTGAGCCAGCAAGTATTTATGATGACTAATATACCTAGCCATATACGATGATATATTCGAAACTATTAAGAGGCGGGTATAGTCTGGAAAAAAAATAAAATATGTACATGTAAGGTGTGATTCAGAGATTTATGACAGACAACAGTGTTACAATGTCACTATTGATACATTTAAAATATGTATATTTTGAAACAGCATTGTCCTACTTGTACTTATAGCCCTATAACTTGCAAAAAAGCTAAGAGCATGTTAACATTGGTATTTCTAAACTCAGGACAAAATTTAGAAACTATTTAGCACGGGTGTTTTTTGGTGGTTGTAGATGTGTAACAGATTTTGGGGGTTAAGGTTCGAAAAGGTGTGTTTTTAAACATGTTTATCATATTTTATAAATTTTTGTTTATAGTAAATTATACGATATGATGAAAATATTGGTATCTTTAGAAAGACCATTTAATAGCGAGGAAAACGGTATATAATATGTGTGGGTATAGTAAATGAGTAAAAGGAAGATTACAGCTAAACACAAACACCACAGAAATGTAAAAACAGCCCTGGTCCTTAACAGTAAGAAAATTGAAAAACGGTTGGTTCACTAAGGGGTTAAACATGGTTCTGAAACATGTCAAGTGACTACGTCCAAAACCGGTGATAATGCTTGGGTACATGCTATCTTAGTAAAAGATAAATGGTTGGTTAGCCCATGTTTTAAAAACATGAGTGTTTTTTGCAGGCTCCAGGTGACTAATATAGTAATTGCCTAACCAGCACCTGTCTCAGTAATCAAGGTACCCCATGACTCTTGTATCACTATCGGTGACATTATGCTATATCCAGTGTATATGGACATCATTGAAAGTGCTATAGAGTTGGTGGATCCCTTCCAGAATCTAGACCTCCCACTAGATCCTAATCTAAAGTTCTTGCTAGACCTTAAGCTCAAGCACACTATCCAAATGTCAATCAGAAAAGATACTCTGAGCTAGATACTAAAATCATTTCTTGTGTTGACTGCTTTATCTATGTTAAAATTGTTATTGGGCACTCACGGGAAGCTCACTTTTTATGTACAAATGTAAGGCTATATATATATATTTTTGCAGTTTCTGGACCTATCGAGGCACCAAAGACCACTGATGGGCATACTGCCATAACCAAATGTGTTACACTATCAAGGATGGACATTAAAACTTGAATCGTAAAAAACAGAAGGAACAAGGGGAGAAGGAAAAAGAACAAGGAGGGAAAGCTTGAGATAAGGAAAGATGGCCAAAAATGGGGACTTCCTAAACGCTTCGAAAGAACATTTCTTCCTGACTACACTTATTAGGTAGTAAACATATGTCTATTTGACATTTCTTCCTGACTACACTTATTAGGTAGTAAACATATGTCTATTTGACATTTCTTCCTGACTACACTTATTAGGTAGTAAACATGTGTCTCTTTGACATATATTAGACTGTAGTTTATTATGTTGCTGTAGTGTTCCCTGACATGATGTGTCACTTCGCTTTACTCTTAACCAGTCAGTCCATGATACAATGGATGTGTATGCTTGAGGTCAGGGGTACTTGGAGACCTTTTGAGATTTAGGCTGACCCACCGAGAACACACTCAGTTAGGAATAATGTAATAAAATATTTAATATGCAGTGAACGAGACCTCTTTTAAACTCACATGTACCCTGTACCTCTTTTGTCCCCACACGTATAAGGAGATCTGGTTGATACGCTTAAGAAGAAGGCATTAAATACTATCTCGCTATATTTAAGCCCACGGGATTGGAATATACACATAGTTTCAGTTACCATTTTGGTTTTACTGCACAACCTTTTAGGGTAAGCAACGGGAAACAATATATTACGCGCTTACCACCCGTCACTATTAGTTCACTTTAAACATATAGTCACTTTTTTTCTATGTTAATGTACATTGATTTGATAAGAGTCAGCATCTCATTAACCCTGTTACCTTTTAAGTTTTTTGTTAAATGCAGCACAATTTGGCAATCAATGATACTACCACCTGCTTGTATGCACCACAACAAGAAAATCCTGTAAATTAACAAATGTACCTCGTGACTATAACAGTCTACCTAGCCTTATTAGTCCCTACCTACTGTTAACGGCTGGTATTTCACGCCAGCAGGTTGCACCCACCGAAGTCCTAATTGATCTAGATGCAGTTTTACCAATATACCTCTGTTACTGATATAAACTATGTATCAATATTTGCCATGTTACTATCCTTTATGTCTTATCGGAATCTTGCATGTTATTGTACAACATGTTTACCTATGTACTTTTATTACTTGTGCACCTTACAATAAAAGTTCAGAGAATAAAAAAAAAAAAATTAATTTTTTTTTTATTGGGTTTACAGTGATGATAATGGTGTTATGATTGTACTAAGTGTAAAGTTCAAAGCTATTACAGGTACATCCATAGTAAAAATAGTTCGTTATGTACGCAAACACCCAACACCAGAAAATGTGATATGGGTACACACACACATACAAAAAAAGTTCTTGTAAATTCTCTTGTGATTATTCATAGACTAAATTAATCATTGCTATGATCATCACAAGGGGGTTTATGTCAGTATATTTTACTGGCAGACATTTTGTGTTAAGATAGAAATTAAAAATGTATACTGTAAGTCACAACCTAGCAGATGTGACTTCATTTTGTAACAAAAATGCAAAGACAGACACACATTTTTATTTCTCTGTAACTATTAATTCAAAATCTGGAATGTGTCAATGTAAACATTGACCAGAGATAAGGTTCTTCTTACAAGAACTATGTCTGCAAGGGGTTTTGAAACAGCCCAAACACACACATACACACACACACACATATATATATATATATATATATATATATATATATATATACACACACACAAACTGCTCAACAAAATAAATGGAACCCAAAAATAACATCCTAGAGCTGAATGAATTAAATATTCTTCTGAAATACTTTGTTCTTTACATAGTTGAATGTGCTGACAACAAAGTCACACAAAAATAAAAAAATGGAAATCAAATTTTTCAACCCATGGAGGTCTGGATATGGAGACACACTCAAAATTAAAGTGGAAAAACACACTACAGGCTGATCCAACTTTGATGTAATGTCCTTAAAACAAGTCAAAATGAGGCTCAGTAGTGTGTGTGGCCTCCACGTGCCTGTATGACTTCCCTACAACGCCTGTGCATGCTCCTGATGAGGTGGCGGATGTTCTCCTGAGGGATCTCCTCTCAGACCTGGACTAAAGCATCTGCCAACTCCTGGACAGTCTGTGGTGCAACGTGACGATGGTGGATGGAGGGAGACATGATGTCCCAGATGTGTTCAAATGGATTCAGGTCTGGGGAACGGGCGGGCCAGTCCATAGCATCAATGCCTTTGTCTTGCAGGAACTGCTGACACACTCCAGCCACATGAGGTATAGCATTGTCTTGCATTAGGAGGAACCCAGGGCCAACCGCACCAGCATATGGTCTCACAAGGAGTCTGAGGATCTCATCTCGGTACCTAATGACAGTCAGGCTACCTCTGGTGAGCACATGGAGGGCTGTGCGGCCCCCCAAAGAAATGCCACCCCACACCATTACTGACCCACTGCCAAACCGGTCATGCTGGAGGATGTTGCAGGCAGCAGAATGTTCTCCATGGCGACTCCAGACTCTGTCACGTCTGTCACATGTGCTCAGTGTGAACCTACTTTCACCTGTCAAGAGAATAGGGTGCCAGTGGCGAATTTGCCAATCTTGGTGTTCTCTGGCAAATGCCAAACGTCCTGCATGGTGTTGGGCTGTAAGCACAACCCCCACCTGTCGACGTCGGGCCCTCATACTACCCTCATGGATTCTGTTTCTGACCGTTTGAGCAGACACATGCACATTTGTGGCCTGCTGGAGGTCATTTTGCAGGGCTCTGGCAGTGCTCCTCCTGTTCCTCCTTGCACAAAGGCGGAGGAAGCGGTCCTGCTGCTGGGTTGTTGCCCTCCTACGGCCTCCTCCACGTCTCCTGATGTACTGGCCTGTCTCCTGGTAGCGCCTCCATGCTCTGGACACTATGCTGAGAGACACAGCAAACCTTCTTGCCACAGCTCGCATTGATGTGCCATCCTGGATGAGCTGCACTACCTGAGCCACTTGTGTGGGTTGTAGACTCCGTCTCATGCTACCACTAGAGTGAAAGCACCGCCAGCATTCAAAAGTGACCAAAACATTAGCCAGGAAGCATAAGAACTGAGAAGTGGTCTGTGGTCACCACCTGCAGAACCACTCCTTTATTGGGGGTGTCTTGCTAATTGCCTATAATTTCCACCTATTGTCTATCCCATTTGCACAACAGCATGTGAAATTGATTGTCACTCAGTGTTGCTTCCTAAGTGGACAGTTTGATTTCACAGAAGTGTGATTGACTTGAAGTTACATTGTGTTGTTTAAGTGTTGCCTTTATTTTTTTGAGCAGTGTATATGTTACAGTTAAAGTGAGAAATCAGTTAATCTGCACATTACCTAGTTAATCTGCAGATTAACTCATTTGCTCAGTTGAAGTGTGGAATCAAGAGTTTTCCGCACTTTACATAAGTAATGTGCACATTAACTGCTTCCATCTAGTTAAAGTGCAAAATGTTTGTTTCTTTCCCTCGGTAAAAGGAATTATTTATTACAAAAAACAACGTCCTTGAAGAACCTGTTTCACCCTTTCAGTGCAAAATGTTTGTTTCTTTCCCTCGGTAAAAGAAGAAATGATTTATTACAAAAACGTCCTCGCAGAACCTGTTTCACTCTTTCAGTGCAGTCTCTGCAGAGTCGTTCACTTCTCGTCTGAAGGCAGAAAGATTCTGTGTGAACCTGTCTCGATTCTTTTTGTGAGCAAGTTCCTTTCAATGCCCTCCACCATCAAATTCTCAAAGCATAGACGCATGGCTTGTTGCTTCTCAGAGCGGGGCTGGCTACTAACAATGCTGCTCCGTAAGTCCGAGAAATACTTCTCTCATTGAGGAGAATGAGACCAATGAGAGGTCTGCTCATGGACCACTGATTCCGACAGTCTTCAAATATATGATGTAAGAGAAGGTGAAAAGGGTTTAAGATGTGTCAAAAGATACTTTATAGCCCAAAATGCATCACGAAATTCAATTAACTCCTTATACGAAGTGGTAGTTGGACTTCCTGATGAGAGTTTCTTGTGGTGTCACAACACCATGTATTGATTAAAGTCTAGATGATAACCTGTAGAGAAGATACACCCACCTGGCTCTATTGGTCACTTTAAATTAGTGATGTAAAGAAAGTTAAGGGAAGCTCTTCCTTAAAAATTGAGGACAACCAGAGATCTGGGGCAATAAGCGAGAAGGAGAGAAGAGGTCTTTGATCATTAACCAAAAGCTGGACACATCTAACTCTCTGTATCTCTTCCAACGAATTCTGGAATTTGAAAAACTCTAACATACTTTATCCAACTTAATCTGGAAGACTCAGAACTCCTTTTTTTAGTTTTTTTTTACATTCTTTATTTTAATGTTTTATCGTTTGAACAAGGTAGTAAACAATTGGGGATACAATAGTATACATATATAGTGGTTTATGGTCCAGTCGTAGTAGAAGTGCCCGCTGTATCCCACGATTCCAGCAGGAGTGTCCCTGGTAGTCTGGGCCCTCGCTAGGGTGTGCCTCGGAGTTGACCCGAATAATGTGAGCATGGGAGGCTAGGTCTGTCTCTTTGCAACTAACTACCCTTTGTGTTTGTTCTTCTTTGAAAGGGGAGCGATAGCAAAGCATTGTAGCGAGTGACTGGAACGAGAAGCTTACCACCCCTCTTCACCATTTGCAGTTGGGATATAACATACCTCTCAGTCTCCCAACTTGAGTCAACCTTTCGCAGAGCAGGGGTACTCAGAACTCTTGATAACTTCCTATTTTCACAATTCTCTACTCATACTGCATACACCATTCATGGAATATATCTCAAAGCCTAAAGAATTTCTACCAAGTAAGCTGGTTTTATTTAATTTAAATCAATACATTTTACTTAAAGGAGAAATATATCTGGATACAAAAATTTTGAAATCATAAATTAGCTGAGGATATATAGGGTTCCAAATTCTATTCCTGCAGGTGCAATAAATAAACAATATATTTGCTGGTAATTTGCCAAGTATAGCGTATCAGCTATTATCCAGAGATATTGACTTATCTGAATTTAGGGATAGTTCATCTTTAATCAGGAAAGTTAATCATCTGTAATGTAAAATTTGATTGGGTGCATTATTCTTTTAGTTACTGGATGGAAGAAATATTTCAACTGATACTTGTATGAGAAATATTGTATTTGTTTATTGCAATGTTAAAGGTGTTTTTCCTGTGAGAATTGTAGCCAGCAATGAGTGAGTTAACTCAGTGTGATTAAAACTGACAGCAAATGCGCTGTTGTGTGATGCTGTGAGAAGTTCTGTATTAAGGAATGTCTAGCTAATTTCAAAACTGAAGGATTTCTGTAATCTTGTTGAAAATTTCATTAATGTGGATATAACTCTTGCTATTGAACTCTCTGTAATTGTGTCATAACTGTTGCCATATATATACTTATGTAATACCTAAATATTCACTAATTATTGTCATGCATGTTACATATTATTAATTATTTGTCACAATAAATTACCGTATTTTCCGGCATATAAGACGACTTTTTAACCCTGGAAAATCTTCTCCAAAGTCGGGGGTCGTCTTATACGCCGGGTATATGGCTGCCGGGGGCCCTTCTAACGCTGCAGCTGCCTGTGCGCTCTATAGAGAGCGCTCAGACGGCTGCCGCACTGCCTCTCTTACCTCCCCTTCCCTGTGCAGAGTGGGTGGCCGAGCTTCTCTTCGTCCTGTCAGTCCGGCTGGGTACTGCGCGGTACAGGAGATTCAGTTACCTGTTCCCGGACAGACTGAAAGGAAGTGCACAATGAGTGACAGGACAAAGACAAGCTCGGCCACCCACTCTGCACAGGGAAGGGGAGGTGAGAAGAACGTAGGGAGGATTGGGGGGGGAAGTAAAACGAACGGAGGGGGGGAGTAAAAAGAACGGAGGGGGAGTAAAAAGAACGGGGAGAGTAAAAAGAATGGAGGGGGGATTAAAAAGAATGGAGGGGGGAGTAAAAAGAATGGAGGGGGGGGGAGTAACCCGCAATTAGCCTCCTGTGTGCTAGACCAGCAGGCATGGATTATATGCCCAAACAGCCTGGCACTTACCTGGGCTTTAAATGCTATTTCAGATTATCATTATTTAATGTCTTCCTGTGTAGCTCTGTCTGCTCACTGTACATCATGGCTAATTTTTATTTGGTGTGCATTGGAAGAGGGGCAGGGCTCGAGTCCTGCAGGAACGCATGGGAACGGCGTTCCTGCACTTTTTCCAAAGCAGGAACACCGTTCCCGTTACCTGTCCTGCAGGACCGGCCCTGCTACCTGCATAGATTGGCCTTCACACGCTGTGTTCCCTCTCCAGCTATAACTCTCGTGAGACCAGCGGCTGTTACCATGGCAACGCTCCGCACAGGCGAGTCTCGCGAGAGTTAGAGCTGGAGAAGGAACACAGCGTGTGATGGCCCCTGTGTGCAGCGGCTTCCTCCCTCCACCGGACCACCAGGCAATCTCCCCCCTCCCTGACAAGGTAAGAAACAGGGAGGGGGGAATAAAATAAAAAATATACATACACATAAAGTTTAAAAAAAAAATGCTCCCCCCCCCCACACATCATCCAGCACTCACACACCCATCATCCAGCACTCACACACCCATCATCCAGCACACACACACCCATCATCCAGCACTCACACACCCATCATCCAGCACACACACACCCATCATCCAGCACACACACACCCATCATCCAGCACACACACACCCATCATCCAGCACTCACACACCCATCATCCAGCACACACACACCCATCATCCAGCACTCACACACCCATCATCCAGCACACACACACCCATCATCCAGCACACACACACCCATCATCCAGCACTCACACACACACATCATCCAGCACACACACACCATCATCCAGCACTCACACACCCATCATCCATCACTCACACCCATCATCCATCACTCACACACATCATTCAGCACTCACACACATCATCCAGTACACACACATACACACACATCATCCAGCACTCACACACACATCATCCAGCACTCACACACACACACCATCCAGCACTCACACACACATCATCTAGCACACACACACCCATCATCCAGCACCTCACACACACACCCATCATCCAGCACTCCACACACCCATCATCCAGCACACACACCCATCATCCAGCACACACACACACCCATCATCCAGCACTCACACACACATCATCCAGCACTCACACACATCATCCAGCGCCCCACACACACCCATCCAGCACTCACACACGCACACACATCCATCACCACACCCATCTCACCACACACCCATCATCCAGCACTCTCACACACATCATCCAGCACTCACACACCCATCATCCAGCACTCACACACCCATCATCCAGCACTCACACACACACACACCATCCAGCACCCACACACACACACACCATCCAGCACTCACACACACACACACCCATCATCCAGCACTCACACACACCCATCATCCAGCACTCACGCACACATCATCCAGCACTCACACACACATCATCCAGCACTCACACACACACATCATCCTGCACTCACACACACATCATCCAGCGCACGCACACACATCATCCAGCGCACGCACACACTGCATTCATTATACACACTCTGCATTCACTATACACCCTCTGCATTCAGTATACACACTCTGCATTCATTATACACACTCTGCATTCACTACACACTACATTCACTATACACACTCTGCATTCACTACAAACACACTACATACACTGCATTCATTGTACACACTGCACTCACTACAAACACTCTACATTCACTATACACTCACTACAAACACACTACATTCACTATACACCCTCTGCATTCACTATACACACTCTGCATTCATTATACACATTCTGCACTCACTACACACTACATTCACTATACACACTGCATTCACTACAAACACACTACATACACTGCATTCATTGTACACACTGCACTCACTACAAACACACTAAATTCATTATACACAATTTGCACTTACTACAAACACACTACATTCATTATACACACTCTGCACTCACTACAAAAACACTACATTTATTATACACACTGCACTCACTACAAATACACTACATTTATTAAACACACTGCATTCACTACATTCATTATACACTACTCATTCATTATACACACTCTGCACTCACTAAAAACACACTGCATTCATTATACACACTCTGCACTCACTACACTACAAACACACTACATTCATTATACACACCCTGCACTGCACTATATGCATAGGAGTGTAATTTTTTTTTTAAGGGGGGGGGTGGGAATCTTGGGTGAGTTCCCACACTTTTTTCCCCAGGACTTGACCCCTGAAGAGGGGTAGTCTTATACGGCGAGTATATCCCAAACTCTATATTTTAACTGGAAAAGTTGGGGGTCGTCTTATACGCCCAGTTGTCTTATACTCCGGAAAATACGGTATATTTTTATAATGGTTTGTGATTAATGTGTGAAATACAAATTCTCTTATAAAACATACTCCAGGGTCTATAAGATTTAATTTAGTGGGTAACTCTTTGCTTTAATCAATCAAGGGGAACAGTGCCAATAAATAAATGTTTATATAATAAAAATATTAAATTAATTTTGATAATTTTTATGAAAATATTATTTTTAATATTTTTACCCCATAAATATCCTCACAGGTGGTCAGATTGCCACCTCCTGGGCTCCTAATGACAGGCTACTGTCCCTCTCCTCGTGGTGCTTCCCACCTTCTGGCACGAGCCGCAAGAAGCGGCAAAAATTCTGACCATGTGTGACACAATCCTGTTCACCTCATCAACATGCCCACTGAGTGTTCCCAGTTTGTTTTATACGGTTTCTGATTTTAGGAGGTGTTGTGTGTGTTTGTGTGAGTTCAGGAGGTGTAGTTTGTATAATAGAGGATATAGATTGTTTGTAGTGTGTTTTGTGTGAAGGTGCAGGGGGTTTAGTGTGTACACAGAGAGTATATGGTGTGTGTAGTGTGTATAAAAGTGGTAGGATAGGGGTTCAATAATTAATTTAGTTATTTAAAAGAAACAAAACACAAACACATTTACTTTCCCTACTTCTTATTACATTGCAGGGGGGAAAGGAAACATACTGATCCCTAGTAGTCCATTGGGCTAGTTATGGGGTCTGTGCCTCTGTAAAATGTAGACCATGTCTCTCCCTCTCACAATCACAATTTTAGTGCCTTGCCGTGGGATACCGCAGCAAAGCTCTGACAATATTAAAACTCACAAGAGGGAGAGAGAGAGGCTGCATTGCATGCTGCCAGAGGCTTCCTTGAGCATTTTCCCTGATAATCTTGAAAGCGGATTCCTGAATTTTGCTGGAGTTTGTTGCTGTTGGGACCTGTCTGCGGCCTAGTTGGGAGTTGCGGCCTATTGCATTTAGCTCTGATACAAGCATCAGGTCTTCTGCTTCCTCCTTTCTTTGGGGATTATCCCGGTACTCCATAGAGGAAGCTGATTGTTTATTGTAGAGGTGAACTACACAAAGCACCAATGAGACTACTGCAAGATGGCTGTACGCCTGTATGGGTCGCATCTTATCCCACAACCAAGTGATACCCTGGCTAGGTTTGACCGTATCTGTGAGCAGTTTTGGGCTGGCCTGGCTCAGTGACCGATCCAAGTACATCTATCAACTTACTCCATAAAGGAGACTAAATGTTAAGGCAATGGTAAGTCTTGGTGACCTATACCGGGCAAAGCTGTCTAAGCGAAACCCAATGTTGCAGGGCTTACCTCATCGACTGATGCTCTCAGACAATGAGCTCAGCCAGCACTGCAGAACTTAGCCCCATAGAGCAAATGGAAGCTGCTAAATAGGAGCTCTTCTACAGGCTGTAGTGGAAGGAGGGACCAGTGCACGCCAGCATGCTATAGTGGGTATGGTGGAGTGTTCCTTTAACCCCTTCCATCCATTTGGAAGAATTTTTCTGTCATGAATAGCTTGCACTTAAAGTATCACTCTAATTTTAATAGAAAAAAAGTAATAATTAGATATATTCATTCACTCCGACCCCATAACAACTTCAGTTCATTTAAGTTGTTGAGGTGACAGACAGGAGCATTACTAGGGTCAAACAAATATGGGACTTGAGCCAAAAAGAATTTGGGGACACCATCCTAAGGATCTTCCCTAAACACCACTCTTGTTCCTTCCCAATTCCTCCACTTAACTCGCCTCATTGTACACTCACAGTTATTTACAGAGACACACACAGATACACATTAACAACGATGGGCAGACACTAACACACACATACAAAGACTAACATACACAAGCACACAGAAAGGCACCAACATGTATACATAGGTGGCACTCACAACCCCAGACAAGCATAAGAATCTTATTGTAGTGTATACAGTGTATAGAGCTCTAAAACCCAGAGTAGTAAGAATTTTGTATGTCAGTACCACAGAGTTGCACTGTAACAGAGTGGGACAAGTGCATGAAATGGCATTGTGTGTATAGTTAATGCTTTTAAAGGCGGGTTGTGGGATTGTGGGGATTGCGTGTGTATTGAGGGGGATGTTATTTAATTAAACTCTACACCTTACCTTTATGGTTTCAAAAGCATTGAAGTTGTTCTCTCAATGGGAGACCAATAAGATTAACCCGGTTAAACCTTATTCATACTTCAGAGGCAGAGTGCCATGACTTAGCATCAATATTCATTGTATGAAATTAAATAAATGGGCAGATCCCCTGACACGGTCTCCTGCTCTCTCAAACTATTTGATTGGTTTGACACAAACGGAGGACCTCCTATATGTTTGCGGCCCAGCCCTCACTGGCCATCAGCATGCCAGCTGATATCCGGAGCCAATCAATGATGTCTACATCTGGAAGAAATTTAAATTGCTAGTAATGCAGACTTCTCAAAACTAGTTTAACATAGGAGCAGGAAAAGCTGCAGTAGCCTTCTCGCACAATAACCACGAGAGTGTCCACTTACGTTCCCCTCTCCCCCATGATTTCTGAAAGCTTTTGTATGCAGGTTACACAGTTAAATAGATTGAAAAGTTACTTGCATCCATCAAGTTCAGCCTTTCTCACATCTGTTTATGCAGTTGATCCAAAAGAAAGTTCAGTCCAATCTATCTTGTCTTTGCACACTATAAAAAAATATAAAACCTTTTTTTTTTCTCAGCGGCATAATGCTTAAAAACAAATAGAAAAGTTAGCATAATTTCACAGAAAACGAAAATGACACTGGGTTTTCAGAGCAACAAAAATAAAAGCTTTTATTTGTTCATTTGAATATAAAACAGGCGTTATCACAGATGTACAAAGCGTACTGGTGATTTAACATACAAGGTTGCTGTCTTTCGCACATAAAAATGTATTTGTATTTTTTTTTTCTCTTTCTTGTTTTCAGCTGTGAATGGCTGAATAAATGAAGATCTCAAAACAGTCAACACTCTCTATATGGAATAACGCTGCTAACATTCAACTGATAACAGGGACAATCTCCCCTTAGGTAAAGTGTCAAGCAGAATTAAATATAATTAAACAAGCACCATGAGGAATCTCTTGGATTGATTTGTGTATGGTGTATGTTATTTTCATGGTGTACTCTTCTCTGTGCATCCAGCTGACTACACGGTTTTCATCTGACTTCAAACAGCACAAGTTCACAAGACAAGACATGTCACAAGATTCCATGAATGGTTTATCTACAATACGGTTTGCTATTACATAACAATCTTCCTTTATTGCTGTTTCTTAAAAACCATGCCAACACCAGAGGGCGCTGCAATGAATGATGGGCACAATATAGGAAAATTTTGGATAACAACCTTCATGGGATCAACGCCCTTTTTACTTGACATAGAGTGCTACTTGTTCCTGCCTCCTTTACCAAGACAAGTATTTTACTTTACAGCGGTTTCAAACTCAGTTTTTTCCACCAACTAATACCTGAGGTCAGATGCTGGCATAATGGGTCCCGTATACTGTTAAAGGGTTACGCACGTGGCACCACTTTGACTTTCCATGTAGAAATTCAGCCATTTATTCATATTTGTTAATGAAACAACCCACCATTTTGTGTCGTGATGGATAAGAAGATGATGTCTAGGTCTACAGTACTACTCCATTGCCTACCACATGGATTACCATGACACCGCGTTCAGAAGAAAAAAAAAAAGAAGCATTTCACGCATGTCAACAGCATTCGGCATCCTCTAGAATTTTCATTTACAATTACAAAGATTTAAGAGTGGATTATATCACATACAGTGTTGTTTTTTGTTTCTTACGTAAACTAGGTAGAATAATTCTAATCTATAAATAAAAACTGGCAGATATAATGGATATAACAGTATGATCGACCTAACCGGGTAGTGGCTTTATAACTATTTGAAATGGTAAGTACTGGAAACTGCAGTTCTCCGACGATGATCCAGACTAAGGTTTATGTCTGCATTAGATTTAACTCGTAGCATCATTCTTTTAAGAAAACAATGTTTTGCCAATGAGAAAATGCCAATGGTCAATGATATTTGAGGCTAACGTAATTTTTTTTCACTGCAATCTGTGGTTGAGAATTTAGCCCTTTAAAATGGAATTACAAAAAAAAATGTTTTAAAACCCCCAAAAGTATTATTATTGTTTCAATTTTCTTACCAGGATTTCAGGGTAGTTGGGAAGTGGATAGCAATCTAATCCTTAAGCTCATTGTATGACCATCACTGTGGGTTGTAAATGTAGTCTATGATCCCTGATGTCACAATTAGCTTATTTTACAGTGAAACCAGAAAGAACTACATAATATTTGGTTACATCTCTACTGTGTGAATTTATAGAATCTCTCCCTTACTAAAAGCCCCCATTAATGCATTCCTAATCAGACCATAAGCATTCTATGTAGAAGGATCTTGGCAACTTTTAAAAAAATGTTTGTGATGCCCACAGCATGTCTGCACAAGCCATTCTTGCCACTTTATTATGTAATTATTGCCTACAACTCACTGTTTACATGTCAAGATATCCATTTATCCCATTTAAAGGTTAGACAGCACCTCCATTCATTAAACTGGTGAACCTTAGCCCTCACTTGATATTTTGAGTCATTTCTTACTTTGTTCTGCTAGACAATTCTGTATACATCTTTATTAATAGTTTCCCTTTAACGCTTTCCAAATAGACGAACACCTTTTTATCTAGAGGAACGTCATACGTATTCTAGATGAGTATAGATTTCTCAAAAAACAAGTGTCAAACAGATACATTAAAGAAATGGAACTAACTTCTAAATAAAAGACATGGAAACTTCTAAATAAAAGACATGACTGACAAAATAGTGGATAACAAAAGCAAGATTTACAAATAACATACATATTTTGTAATTATAATTTTGCATAAAGTTTACTTATATGATACATTTCAAATAAAAGGGTCAACTCCAGCCTGTGCTGTCCCTTTAACAATATAGTCCCTTTTGCAAATTGTCACTATCTCATATTTGTATGGCAGGTGCACCTTAAATAAAGCAATGAAACTCCACATATTTCACATTTTGACAAGGTACAGCAATGTCAAAATATATATTTGCAAATGTTGCAAAACACTTTTTTATGTACAATGTCTTTATAACCGGTTCATTTTTCAGTCAAAATCAAAGCCTTATACGGTATATCATTTTCAAAAGCAGAATGGACACAACTCATTTATTGTCGCAGCAGAATGGTTCATTACTATTTCCTCCACTTCCATACAGCTAAAGAGATGTAATGATTTTACTAATGCCAAATCCCAAACTCAAGAAACTACCAGGGATTAGGGATATGGTTATATTGATGACTGATTTACTAAACTGATGCATAATTCCAATGGTGCATTAAAGCCACACATTTAAGATAAACAGTAGTAAAGTGCGCATAATGTTAAAGGGACACTATAGGGTCAGGATCACAAACATGTATTCCTGTGCCTATAGTGTTAAAATCACTATCTACCCTCCTGCCTGCTCTAAGTATTGTAAAATCTTACCTTTATTTCAGTCTGATGATTCTGCCCCTTATCTGCCTTCTTGTCCAGAAGTGATGATCTCAGCCAATCACAATGCTTTACCATAGGAAAGCATTGGATTGGCTGTGATTGCCAAGAAGGTGTGTGTGTGTGTGGGGGGAGTGGAGAGGAGCCAAATGCCGCCCTGGCCATTCAGCATCTCTATGATGAAAGTTCAGTTTCTTCATGCAGAGGATGAAGACAATAAATGTCAGTGCTGCACAGTGTGCAGTACTGCCACAGGAAGAGCCTCTAGTAACCATTTGAGGAGTGGCCAGTAGACATGTCCATAGGGAGCAATGTAAGCGCTGCCGTTTCTCTGAGAAAACAGTGTTGACTGCGAAAAGCCTGCAGGGAATGATAATACTCACCAGAACAAATACAATAAGCTGTAGTTGTTCTGGTGACTATAGTGTCCTTTTAAAGAAACATTATCTCATCCTGTCTGGAAGATCCAATTTTTAATGTCTACTATAAACTCAAACAAAAGAAAATGTAGAACTGTGACAGCGTAAACATGGGATGCCTAATCCAAGGTCTCCAGTTTTTGCTCTAAATATCCCTTAATTGTAGTATAACAGCTGGGGAGCCTATAGCATGGCATTACTATGTATTTTCTCCTGCCAAAATTGTGTGACTGCAATGGTCTATGACAGGCATAGGCAACCTTCGGCACTCCAGATGTTTTCGACTACACCTCCCATGATGCCTTGCCAGCATTATGGGTGTAACATCTGGAGTGTCGAAGGTTGGCTATCCCTGTTCTATGATCATAAAATCAAGACAGAAATGTCTCCAATGTCAGAAATCTCTCTGCTACAATATCAAGTGCTCTATTTGTTTACATTTGTTTTACTTTAATTACTCACTTAAACCCTTAAGGACACATGACATGTGTGACATGTCATGATTCCCTTTTATTCCAGAAGTTTGGTCCTTAAGGGGTTAAAGGAGAGCAATCATTTATCTGAAATTGACACCATTGAATAAAACACTGAAAATCACCTATACCTTGTGTTACTATTTTTTTCATGACAGACTCTGTTTTCTTTTAACTTGATATTAAATATTTACAAATACATCATAAGTCAGTTCAGACAAGGCAAAGCCAGGACAAACATTGCAAATAAGGTAAAGAAATAACAACATTGTTTTGTTTCTCCTCTTTTCTGTATGCTTTCTCTATGCTCACTGCCAAGTGCACAGGACAGAATGTGATGGACAGGGAGTTAAGATGGAGGTGTCCAGGTGTAGGATAAAGGAGTCTGGACTATTATATTTAATTTTATTTCACACACCTCGCAAATGCATTTTCTTTAAACATAGGGGTACGTAAATATAATGTAAAAAATCCTGGGAGGTTAAATACCCCTTTAAACCTTCATGTTAAAGTAGCCAATGGCCTGTTTTCATTTGGGCGCTATCTGAATTCTAGCTGGATCTATATTTGGCTTCCAGGGTTTTCCAAATTCTGGTCCTCCAGATGTTTGGAGAACTCTTCCAGATGTTGCTGAACTTCAAATCCCATAATTCTCTGGCTATCTATTTCATTCAAAGAATGATGGGAATTGTAGTTCAGCAACATCTAGAAAGCCAGAATTTGGAGAACTCTGGAAGACATCATGCAGCCAATCAGCATTACAGCTTTGAAGCCAATTGTTTGATATTGTTTCTTTTTTTTTAGGCTCTCCTGTCAAGATCTAAAATGTAGGACTTCCTGCTACAATCAAATGTATCAATAAAGTTAAAACAATGTAGGCATTGCTGTTGTATTATGTTGTACTGCACTAGCTGAGTTTTTTCTACGTGTAGATAAGCAATGTTTGACTTAATGCCTAGGTAGACCAGGGACAGTTAACCCAATTCTGTTATTCCAACTATTTCATGAGTAACACAGAACATATCCTATAGAAGACATGCTAGGCAGCAGCTGAAACGGCAGATAGTACAGCAGGGAGTGTATACTAACTCAGGCCCACCTGCTGTTTCTTTAAAAAAAAGTGGCTTTCTATTCAATTACCCATACAGCACATATGCACAGATGAACATTACAGAAATGACAACCAGAAGGGATTTCTGTGAAATATACAGATAGTTATACCATTTCATTATGGCATACTAGTAAAATGGTGTATTAGTGTATTTAGATTATGTGTATATTAAAAGGACTTGCCATTTTGAGGTTTTCCAGAGATAGAATCTTCTTGAAAATCTTGGAAAGTCTATAAACGCAATTGAAATTTCAACACAATTTGAAGACACCATTATTAAAACATGGGAACTACTTTGTCTTATGGACAAAACTATTTTTTGGCAATATATGATAATAAAAATGCTCAGTATTTAAAATAAGTACACAGAACAAAAAAAAATGTCAGTGTCTACTAATTATTTTATTGCTGAATGAACTCCCAAGTTGAAAGCAGGTAATAAGAGTTTCAACCCGACACACTTGAAATCAAAGTTGAGTAATGTGATTGGCTGCTTGTTTTTAACCAATAAAAAATAAAGCTATGAGGAAGTGCAGGTTCACTGATCAGAATGTACACAACAGAGAATATCTTACTGACACCTTCACCAAGTAGATAAATAATAAAACGTTTTACAAGTATATCTGAATTTCTTTAAATGTTCCCTTTACATAAACGGAATTTAACAAGAAATCTATAGTTCATAAAAGGCCAAGGATATGGCAGTCATTTGTTTCTTACCCAAACAAAGCAATGAAAACCGCATTAAAAGTGAGATGTAAAATCTCATTTTATTGTTTGTGGTCATTAATAAAATGCTAGTAAAGTGCTTCAATAATAAGGATAACTATCCATCTGACATTGTCTTGGATTTATATTACAGAAGCAAAGGAGAGGGAAAAAAAGACTCTCTCAGTTGAAACAAAATGGTGGATGCGTGTTTCATTGGTTAATAAAAAATAAATAAAACCAAAGCTTGCTCTCACAAAAAACAAAACAAAAAAAACTTCAACTCTACAAACAGAGGTATTTTGAAATGTACTATTAATATTCTGCTGTCTAAACATTAATAAAACGGTCCATAAAATTAAATTTAAATAATAACTAATTTCTTGCAATTCTCGACAATGAATTTACTAATTTTACGCTGCTTACTTCACAGGGTTAGAGAAAAGTGACAATGCTTCTTCTTGATCTTATTAGGAATGCAGCATCAATAATTACTGCAGAATTGTTTAAAATAATGAACTAAAATATTGCAAAACAGGAAAATTGATCATAAATTAGATAGTCTATGGATCATACTTAGAATTTCAAAAGGTTTAAATGGATCTAAAGAATTGAAAGAGGAGATAAATAGTTGGTTATTTAATACCAGTCTCATGATATGAACAGATTTATTTAAGATAGACATCTTAATGTTGTATTGTAAACCTGTTCTTCCTTAGTTATTCCTATGTATAAATAGTCAACATGTTCCTCAGTGCTTGTGAACGGTAGACAAAAAATATAAGTAACACATTTAAAAGACCAGGAATAAGCTCAAAAGAGCTTATGTTTTATTCCATAATTCTGGCAGATTGACAAATAAGAAATGGTAGTCTCTATGAGAAGAGATACAAGAAAATATCTAACCTTAGGCAGCCTTAAGGACGACAGGAAAATTACAATGAAACACCAGTTTCATGCTTCCACATAACAAATAAAAAAATAATGAAACTTATGGGGAAAACACTTTGAAGATGAATATATATATGTGATGTCTCTCCTCTAGACCTGCATGTGTGCTACTGGATGTTCATCAGGAAAAGTTACTCCTAATAGTTACATACCCATTAGTTTCCATGTAGCCAAGTTCCCTTCACCTAAAACTGCATAGAGGGAACATTTCTATTTTCTAACAATATACATTTGACTGTGATTGTGCCAAGCTAACATTGAATGTAATAAACTGCTCACTCTTTTAGGACCCAAAGTCTTATTATTTGGCAACACCTAATTTATTAGTTAACATCTCCCATCAGAGAGCAGTAGAAACCTAGATTATAGGGCAGATAAATTGACCTAATAATAGGAACCATATACTGAGTCTTGCTAAAACGTACGTATTTTCATGTCTCTCCAAAATTTCCACCAAGATGTTCATATGGCAGACAGCTGAAGATGTTCTTGCACAGAAACAAAGATGACAAAGACAGTATGTGAACTCTCTTAATAAAAATTGCAATTCTTATTATATAGCCTAAATATTTGAAGGCAAAAGATGAACTGCTTTGCACAGGACACAAAGTAGGAGATTTTAAAAAGTGACTAGTAGAAACATGGTTTAAAGTTTGAAATTATGGAGCCATAAGGAACATTCCTTCTGATTCCATTGTGACAGATCTACTTTTAGAACATGACATCACTTTTCTAATATGGACAATTTTTTTATTTTTTATCTCCCCTATATAAATTAATTGTCCACACATTTACTTTTACGCTATTTCAAACCTAGCAGCAAGGTGCGTCATGTCAACAGACTGTATGTTGAGGTGTCCCTATTTACCACCAAATGCTTTTATTATGGTATTTGTAAAAAATATTTCACAGGATGTATGCCCCAAAAAGCAGCACATAAAGAAGTACTAAATGTAATTTATGAATTGCTTTTTGAGAGAAAAAAAAATAAATTAAAAGAACCAAAAAAAAACCTCACAGTGCATTTCATCCATACGTTCATCCACCACCTAAGGACGGTTTTAAATCCACTTGCTGGTATCTATAATAATAATAATAATCTTTTTGGGAATTTTTTTCAATTTTTTTTTTTTTAGAAGGGAAACTGGGCAATCAATGATTGCAATTTTCAAACAAAGTTGTGAATAACACTCAGATATATACAGTGAGAGACACCATGCAAGAGACAAGAACTGCATCTTTAAACTTTACAATATGTCCCTTTTCCCATAACCCATTAGTGAATTTATATTTCATATATATATTTGATGTGATACTATCCACTCAAGATAATACAACACTTTATATTAGCAAACATCTCAAGAGTTTAAACGCTCTTGAATGTCATTTTTGTTTTATACTTCTAAAGAGATCAAAATAAATTAAACATTTATACATAATTACATATGAAGAGAAGTTAACTTATTTTATCCTTTTAGTTTAGTACAAAGATAAATTGCCAGAAGTCCACCTTATTTTTATATTTATATATTTATATATATATATATAATTCTTTTTTTCTCTTAAAATTTGGCTCAATAATTATATTACTCTCTCAATTGGTGATGAAAGACTGATTTCGGATTTGTGTGCTTATTCATTAAATGTTGTGCAGAATGCCTTGGGATTAAACAGCGGGGTGTAAACCCCTTCAGGTGAATGAGAGTTGACTGCATTGCATAGCAATACGGCACACACCCTCCTACCACACCAGAGGGTTGAGAGTGCTAGGTAAGCTCCATATTTTTGCAGTCTAGAGTAATTTAAAAATCTTAAATAATGACTGTGATCAACTGTTTAAAGATAGCAATTACTGGGTGCAAACTTCCACTACTTATACATTCCCTCTTGTAACCAAGGACTGACTTGTTGTATTAGAAAAAGGTAGGAATATCAAATTATTTGAGGGTCACCTGGAACACAAAATGTTGTGACCTCACACAAAGGTACAAAGGTTGCTCGTTGTATACAGTCACCTTTGTGACTTCAGTTATTTCCTGTTCGTACCTTATTTAAAATAATTGGACTTTCAGAAATGGCTAAATATAAAATATCAATTTTTTTTCTGACACAACTCAGTGTGAACCACAAAATAACTTTGCCACTCTAAACGGTATTTAAAACAAATAAGAAAACAATCTACCATTTAAAAAAAAAAAAAAAAACACCCGTTCTTTTATAAAAAAATTGTAGCAACCTAATAAAGAACAACTGGATCCTTCTAGCGACATAAAAGACAAACAAGCAGAGGAAACACAAACTTTAAAAAAAGTCTTTTTTTTTTCACGTGGTTTGAGTGTCAGATATAGCTGGAGACCTTTATGGAACTTTACATGTAGAACGGAGGGAATACAGTACTTAAAAATTCTCTTGGTGCTAAATTGTAGTGATAAAAAAAAAAAAAAAAAAAAACCTTTCACTTTTCATCTGGCCAATCATGGGCAATTGGTAGATAAAAATAAAAAACAAAAACAAAAAAAAAACCAAACAGACAGTAATGCTCCATTCCGAACAAGGTTATCCCCTTATTTGCACATTTGATTTTGTTTGTGGACACCAAAAAAATGTATACACCTAGAGTAAAGTCCATGGAAGCCTTAAAATTACAAGACTACATGTTGTAGGCCACATAAATGGGATCTAGCTGATCTGCCAAAAACCCATCTCGTAGGTGCATACGTTGTTTCTCTCCACGGGAGTTGATAGGAATGACACCAATGTCCACCACCACGACAACACCTACGATCAGATAATGTTCTTCCAAGATCACATTGGTTACCAGCGGTACTAGATCCAAGGCTTCCTGTTCTGATCCCTCAAGTTCAACGACAACCACCAACAAATTAGTCCAGGTAAATACAGCACTGTGTGGAAAGCAGAAGAAGAAAGCTATGTATTAGTAAGTGTATACAGAAGCACAATGATGCTCCTAGATGGACTCTCTAATGGTAACAAGACAAACAATTCCATGCTTGCTACAAACATACAACATACTTTAGTGGAGAATAAAAAAGTTACTATTACAAATCCCAATGAATACTTTTGAATAAAATAGTGTTTTTAGTAGACATATTTCCATGAAGCAATTCCACACTGGTTGATCCACCAAGGAGGTAAAACTGAAAAAGCACATGTCTGATTCAAGGCTGTTGCTTTCTCACGACTGGAGTTGTTAGAAGATAGTTGGGAGAGCATATGCAGTCTTCAAGTGTCTGGTTGCCAGTGCTGTGTTAGAGAAACAAATTATACTATGTACCTATTCATGTAATACTCACCATTCTGTGACGCTCTTATGGGCTCTGATAACTGAAGTTTCAATATCAATCGGATGATATCTCATCCCTCGCAGTTCCATTGCTTCATCCAGAGCACCAACAACATAAAGGGCATCGTGGCGTTCTACATGGAAAATACAGAAAATACCAAACTGCATCATACACAGGGACATGTAGACTGAAACATGTAAATGTTTACTGATCCATGCTACCATTAAGATAGCATGAAAATAATTTTAGAGACATCTCATTCCTAGAAACACATACTAACTTATTTTAACATACCACTGTGTGGCTTCTTGTTTATTGTCATAAGAAACCAGAACTGTAGAGCTATACTGCATACATAGCACGGGTGTGAGCAGGGACAGACAGACAACAATTTGGTCTGGGCATTTAAAGGAAGGGTAACTCAATGAGGGGTGTGCCCAGAGAAGGGGCATGTTGTGTCATGACCAATGACAGGCACACTAAACCAAAGCTGGCTTGACAGCTTGATGCCTCTCAAAGGCAGCCAATGCGCAGAGTCCTTTTGAAGAGCTGTGGTATAGAAAAATGCTCTTTAATGACATGCTTGTTCTGCATTTGCTGGTAACTTGTCTCTGGTGTCCCCATAGTGGAATACCAAAGGACAAAAGGGTTTGGAGAGGCTGAATGTGGTTTTGTATGCTTGTGATGTTGCATGTGTAGGGTAGGCTACTTACAGTGTTATGTGTGGGGTAGATTACCAGTAGTGTGCTTTGTGTGTGGAAGCTGCTTGTGAGGTTACATGTGTGTGGGGGATTCTATGTTGGGGGTTATGAGTGGGAGGTGCTGCTTAAGCAGTTAGGCTTCTTCTGCAGTTGTTGATGTGTGAATGGGTCTGCTTGCAGTGTAATGTGTGTAGAGGCCTGTTAGAGGTGTAGTGTGTATAGGGGCTATAATGTGAGGAATAGGGAGATAGGGGCTGTAGAGTTGGGGTGGGTTCATGATGCGCATGTGAGGAGTAAGGAGTTGCAATGTGTGTGGGATAGGAGTTGTAGCATTTGGGGTGTAGTGTATGTGTGGTGCAGAAGAGTGTAAGGAGGCAGGGGCAGAAGTGTGTGTAAGTGGTAAACGCTGTCATTTAAGGGGAATATAGGCTCTTGTGGGGGGTGGGGGGCAGCAAAGACTGAGTGGTAATTATACAAATAAAATATATTTTACATAAAAAACAAACAAACAACAATAATGCCCAACGGGTGCAGACAGCTACCTCCGGGGAAAGTAGCAGAGCATTTGCTGTGGTCACCCATGGCAAAGGCAACCATCTGATACGGAAGCCACAACAGCTCAATCTTCCTCCCCGTGGCATTAGCATGAGCTGCAGGGGCCAACCGGGAAGATCCTTTGTTTTATTAAATATCACACTCCAGATTTAAATATTGTTACATAGGGGTATAATTAAAGTCACAGTGCATGCGTTCACATTGTGCTATTTCACTCCAGATTTTATATTTTCAATAGTGGTACTTTATTTCAGTATCAATCACATTACGGATAGTTTTTTAAAAAATTTTTTACCTAACAATCTTAAAGGAACACTCTAATGTTAGGAATACAACACATGTATTCCTAACACTACAGTGTTGGGCTAGCTGTTTAGGCCCCCAGACCTCTCTCGGTGGAGTAAAAAAGTTGTTTTGCTCACCTTTTCTCCATTGCCGCCCTAGTCTCGCTGCTGCTGGCCCCGCGTCCAAGATCATCAAACCTGATGGTATCAGCCAAACCATTGCTTTCCCATAGGAAAGCATTTGAAGGGTATTTCTAAGAAAAGGCAGCATTTACACTGAAAAGCCTGCAGGGACATGCTATAGACACCAGGTCCACTACATTAGGCTGTATTGGTTCTGGTATATACTATATTATCTATTTATATTTATTTATGTATATTCATTTATATTTATTTAATGATGGACATTGTTTTATGTTTGATGTTGTTTTTTCCATCTTGCCCACACTCTTGCCCCTTTTCAATGCGATTGGATCCACACGCTGGCAAATATGGAATGAGCTTCTTTACCCAATCTTGGACATTCTCTGTTATATGCACAACTGAAATGAAAGACTCTTTTGTCATGCCTTACGTTATTTTATTTTACTTAAAACAAAGACTTTTACCACTTCTAATTGCTGCTAGAGACTTTCACGAATAGAAGAACATGCCGCGACCACTATGCGTTCCACGCTGGAACGCACGGACTTGCACTGTCTGTGGTAACGCCTCGTCACTTCCGGTGCGACGCGTGCGTTCCACAGTGGGTGTTCACACACACGTGGACGTCGCGCCGCTTCCGGTTTTTGCCGCGTGCGTCCCACGACACACCAGGAAGTTATTCCCATTTATGTGGGTTACATATTTAAAGGAAGAATTTGAGGACATTCGTTTACACTTCTGATGAAGCCTAACTGGCGAAACGCGTAAAGTGTTATTTCTTATAGCCCTTTTGTTTTACTACTGTTAAAATTGTTACTATTAAATATTTTTAAAGTGATATACTATTTTATTTTTATTTTCAATTTATCTTCCTCATCACTTCCTGGTCTACATATCCTTCAGTGGGGATTATACCACTGCAAGCCTTATATACTAGAGCAAGTTGTCTGCTCTAGCAAATGTGAGTACAATTACTTTCATTTATTCTCTCTACATTTGGAATCAGAGTTGCTACACCATTGGAGTTTCTCTCTCTTTTTTCCACCTTATCTACATCATCATACCAATGGAGTACTGAAAAGTTTGGGCCTCCTATCCTGAGACGGGGATTGTACCGTCCGTGCAAATTAAGGTAGAGCTCCTGATTAGCTCTACCAAATGTGAGTTCAAAATACCTCTGCTTTACATACCATTCCCGTTTTCAATTTGTTACAGCATATTGCACTATTGTATTTCTCTCTTTGTGTTTTTTTGAGGATATGTTGTCTACACCAATTAAGGGATACCAAGTGTATGTATGTATAGCTAATATAAAGCACGGTTTCCTTCTTTTCTTTTACATTGTCTCCTTACAAGGCTGGGAATCCTTGCATTGGTTACTGCTGCTTATTCACTTTCTGTTTTGAAGTGAGCCCCTGACACATCTCCCTTTTCTTTCTGTATTGGTTCTGGTGACTGTAGTGGTTCTGGTGACTATAGTGTCCCTTTAATTCTTGACTTTTTATAGTGAGGTTGCA